GTGCATTCGAGGCCGTACTAAAGTATGCATACTGTCCGGTACGTCATGAGCCAGAGCGCATAGACTGCGGCCGGCAAAGCTTTATTGAGCAACTGTTTGAACAAGAGACCGCATGCATGATCAACCTGAGTCAGTCACTGACATCGCTCCCAAACTCTCCCCAAACTAAGGACGTTGTTATTATGAATTGGGACTATCTTGTGGCGCCTGCCAGGGTCGTCCAATGAATGTTCGAAAAGGAGGGGACCGTGAGCTCCAATTGCTTACACTAATGCCTAACTCCTAGCTTGGCGCTCTCACTACTTGCGGCAAGGCTGAATAAGTTACAACTATTTGATGCAACTGCTCAACGGTAACGGATGATCGGGTCAAAGCCTCACTCAAAAGGTTTGATCTCTACACCTAGACTCTACCAGTCACTTCGCTAGGTGACCTTGATAAATGCTGTGCTACAACGCAAGACTGCATACCTTTCTAGTGCGCACTGCACTACGTGTACAGATCCGGAACGCTATCCTTGCCGTCACTGCCGCTCTCAGCACTGCTGGCTAAGCTGCGCGACCTTCGCTCCGCATCAAACACATAGTAGCGCTCATCTTTCATGGGGAATAAGAGGCCGAATGCCAGCGCGATGCTGGCCCATGCTGCTAAAACCTGACTGATGATGGAGGTGTGACTAACAGGCCAGATTTGCGTGATCAGCGTCTCCCCTCGCGAGTCGAGGAGCACAACGAGCGACATCGAGCCGGATCGCCCGGGGGAGCTCGGCCACGCGTCTTCGCGGATCCACGACGCAACAGTCTCCTGCAAAAATCAACCGTGTGGGGTGCGAGCTGAGACTCCATTTGCGATTCAGTCGAACTGTACGGTACTGATGGCACAGAAGGTGGCCTTGACAGCCCAGCTGCCTTGCAGAAAGTAGTTCGTAATCCGCTCTATGATCCTAGTGAACGAGCTTGTTGTGATTCTTTTGAAGGAAAGATCAGACTCCTTTCAGGCGAGGTTAGAACTAGAGTCGCTATCACATGGATGAATTCCATGCGATTCACTTGAACTCCCATTTGAGTGACACCCTGAGTATGGCGCCAAGGCAACACTCTCTGCCTTACTAAGAGAAAAGCTCATAGAAACGGAGGATGCTGATTATAGATTGAAAACTTCTCAGCGCAAACGATGCATCAGCGTGTGTACACGAGCAATGAAAAGCTGGGCATGGTACGCAGGACAACCGTCTCAGCAACTCGTCACAAATCACAATCAGGAATTTACTTACGTAGGAGCTGTTTGAATGAATCAGCTGACTGAGTTGTTTGCTCACCCGGGTCCCGTTGATATACTTGGTCGTGGTCAAGTCCAAGCGCATGGTTAATTGGCTCCAAAAGGACCCGTTTGCTTTCTCGGCAGTGCTGTAGTAGCTATACCCGGTCTCTCCGAGCACCTTCGTTCCGTTTTCATACGATGCCAGGAAGCGCATGAACGACGTAATGCCGATGCTCGAAAAGATGTCCAAGCTGCAGAAGCGTGGTGCACTGTAGGCCGTTTCCCCAGCCTGCCCGACGATCCCCTCAAAGTCCGCATACAGACACAAAGAGTTATCCCCGCCAGTCCAAGTCGCTGGCTTGACATATGCCCCGGTAGGCACGCCGGCGCTCGAGCGCACTACGAACTTGTCACTAGGCACCGCGGTGCCGTTCCGAAAGTATGCCTTTATTGTTTTAGGAGTGGGTGGCGAGTAGCCGTCGTAGTCTTGGATGCAGCGAAAGCGGACGTCCGTTTCTGTCAAGAAGGTCTCCCAGTCCGCCGGACTGTAGGTAATGCGGTGGCATGTGGTGATTCCCGGGAATCGGACGCCGCTTTTCCCAATTGACAACGATGTTGGCAGGGTCTGTGCTCGCAGCAGAACCTGCCACAAAGCAATGCTTACTCACTCCAGCACCCAAAGTGGACAGAATCATTCCTGGTTGGGTCAACTTAGCAAGTGACCAAGTGCTCTTGACCAACTTAGCTAGACCTGAGAAAACAAGCCCCCTCCTTTGATGCGCAGAGCAAGGGCTCCATTCGCAGCAAAGATTGAGACAACAGATTGTTGTGCTGGGATTGCCAGGCTGAGACTTCAGAAGAGGTGCATGCAATCAAAGCTTGTGCCTCTCATGGTTTCTGGAGCGACAAGTCAAACCACACAGCTTAGAACATTTTACAGATTAAGACGAATATGACCAAAACGCTCTGTGCGAAAGAATAATCAGAGCTCTGGCGTGTGTATGAAGTGACCGCAACTTTTGGAAATTACCCATACTGTGAGAATGAGCACGCTCGATAGATGCGACTGCAGGAGGCTTACCGACACAAGTATGGCGGCAAGGAAGCTCGCAAAGACAAGGATCAGGAGGACGAAGCACGCCCACGCTCTCCGCCGATACTGCACCGGCTGCACATCCAAGGGCATGAAGAAGCCCATCCTTGCAGAAGGAACCACAAACCCCGCTGCAAAGCGAACCAGGATCTAATCCAGGACATAAGGGCACATTGACTCGGGTCCTGAGTAGAAACGGCTGAGAACAACGCACCCCGTAGCTTAGAAAGGATTAGCAAGAGCAATTCACATGAAGGCGCCTTGGTTCAGGTCCTGAGTAAGGAGGGCTGGAACTCAGTTTGATGATGCCATGTACGATCTGAGTACACGCTGTGCTTGTAATGCTGTAGACACGGTGGTGGCCCTGAGTACAACATACTGCCACCGTCAGCTTGCATTGAAATGTCCTTCAGCCGCTCCTGCAGAAGAGAGGACACACAGCGATCAGTGCCCGCAGCTCAGCAGGCAACCGTGAGGCAACCGTCCAAAGACATTGAGCTAGACATCATGCCACTCGCCATATTTGTGAAAACATTGGACAATGCGACCGATGAAAAACCTTTTCTGGTCAAAGGCTACAAAAGTCATCAAGATTGCTTGGCGCTGCCTGGCCTTTCAAAAGACTGCGAGTGTGGGGCTCGAACCCTTCTCGCGACAACCCGAATGAAGCTGGTACAGAACAGGCTGCAAAAAAACAGCAAAAATATGCTAGAATGTGCCAGAGAGCTGCCTAGTGGCAGAGGAACACACCTGTGGGTGTTTTGCGGTGCTGTTGGGCCTTTGTAAAGCCAAAAGTTGAACGCCACAACTGGCAATGCCTTGATTAAATATAATATGGCATGCACAAGTTTTATTGGCGAAAGGCTGGCTGAGACGGAGCTGACATTTCCGTTCAACGGAATGCAATGGACCGGAACGTCACTCAAAGCCAACGGAACGATACATAATCATAATTACGGCTACTGTAGAATGTTGCCAAAAGGCCAAGAATTTGCACTTGGCGAAGCATTCGTTTGCCAAGATGTGCTACGCGTGCTTTAAGTATGTTAAAAGATGATTGACTCTTGCCATCGACAGCTCGGCCAAAAAGTGCTTATAAGGGGTCTGCAAGCTCACGCTTCAAGTTTTTGTGTGCCCTCTCTGAGTTTCTTGAAGTCTTCATGCAGGGATTCTTTCGGGGCCTCCTTCGTTTTCGTCAGCATCAGCACTTGCCTGATCTGAAGTGTCCTCCAATCAGTACGTGCGACTTGCAGATTCAAGGCCACGTCATCTTCAATGATTGAATTGAATTGCACCGAGCGTTGTTTTAACTGTCTCACTCCATACTTCCGGAGTTCACATACCGAAAATTTCTAGAAGTTTCCTTAAGACTCGGACATTCAGCAACGCTTGTTCAACATCCGCTTACATCAGCTTTATCAAATCGGTATTGCACTGCAACAATCATTGTCACCTGGAGATTCTGACCAAGGTAACCGTCAAAACGCCGCTTCCCCACGATCGGATGGAAACGCATAGCTCAACATGCACTCAGTACAGTTGCGCCAGCCAGAACTCGTAATCAATAGAACATCCATTGAAGCGGCCGGCCGGGGCCTCACCCGCGGGCCTCACCGGTGGTAGCCCCGCTCGAAAGTGGATTCTTGCATATAAAATACTATGGAGCTGTACCGGAGTACCTTGGAATACGGGATACTCCTCTTCAATCACAGGTTTCAAACAGAAAATACATGTTGGTGCAAGTTTTGCGTGTTCCGGGGGGCTGGTATACCAGCTAGAAAATTGAGCCGGAGATGCAACGTGTTCTGTAATCATTGGACATCAAAGTGCAAAAATTGTCTATACGGTATGTCTATTCGATCAGTCAGCTATTCTACTTCGCTCATTCCCTTCCCTTCGAGTGCTCTCGTACGGAGGGGTGGCCCCTAGACTATCGAGCAGTCGCCCCAGCGAATTATTCTGCTATCCATTGTCTAAAACGTGCGCGCGCTCCTAAAGGAACATCGATCTCGAAAGGTGCCCTTGAAGGTGAGACGGGCTCTCGCGCGGGCGGTGATGCGGGCTCTCCGGGATCTTGTGCGAGAAGCTGAGGCCACGTGTCGGGCTCTCCGGACCCCTATGCGAAAAGCTGAGGCCACGTGGCGGGCTCTCGGGGCCCTTGTGCGAGAAGCTGAGGCCACGTGGCGAGCGTGGCAGCTTCGCGGGGGTGATGGCGGGAGGCTCTTGGCGCGCGAGCTTGCGGCTGAAGCTGGACTCGCCCGTACGGACGTCTTCGAGAAAGGCGCCGACGGTCTGGTTGCTCACGGAGCCGCTTCTCTGTGGAAGGGTAATGAAATCTGATGTGAGCATTCTGGTTGATCCGAGAAAGATTTGCCCAAGAGCTAGTGTGCTGGGTTTCTATCACACGGCATCCTTAAATATAAAAGAAGGTCCAAATGAAGAATCAGTCCAATCATACCGCCTATCAAAAGAACGTGACTGCCGACGACGGTTTGGTTAACAAGGGGCAACGTTCGGTGCACTCAAGACAAGCAGGCTGATTCGCATGAACGAGCCCACAAACTGCAACTCGTCAGAAAAGTTTAGAACAAGATAAGCCACTCGCCTGCAACTCGTCAGCCATGATAAACGCCCACGTCTCCACATCCAGCACCGGACCATCCTCTAGGCTCCACGTGGCAGCCTCCTGCCCCGGGGGCCGGACATCCAACGGCCGAAGCAGCAACGAGAGCGGCGACTTGAACCCGGCCCGCCCACTCTCCTGGTCGCCGGAAGTCCCCACAGCGCGCGCGCTCAAAGGAACGGGTGACCCAGGAGGGGAGAAAGTTTTGGGCGCCAAAATGGACTGGAATAAAGTGGGCAGGTTGCAGAGCGGGTTAAAGAAGTAGAAGAGGGCGGCCGCCCTCGAGCCGTCGCCCAGGGCTGAAGGGTCGCCGAGAAGGAGGCAGTCGCCGTTGCGAAGCTCGGCGAAGCGCTGCAGGGAAAGACCGTAACTGGTTGAGTAATTGACTTCCGCTGCTGCTCATCATCTTTCTTCCCATCAAAATGCTATCTGCAACCCTCCTCCGGCATGATTGTTTACGACAGTCAGTCCGGAAAGGCGAGAAGATTCAAAAAAATCCTTGACCCCGCTTCGTAAATGCGGGATCGCGTAGCATTCACACCTGCTCATTGAAAAGAACAGTTCGGAAACCCTCTGAGCATCTCAGACTAGAATCAACACTGCAGAACTCATAAGAAACTACCAAAGGAAAGTTCAGAAACGGTTGCTCCTAGTAGCGGAGCAGAGAGCACGAACGTCTCACAACATCCCGAATAAGAAAGCAAAAGAAGCTACATCGAAGTGGTCCTCTGATTCCATAAAATACCTATTTAAGACAACAATCTCTAAAGAATCGCAGTATGCCTCACCGGCAGCGGCATCCCGTTCAGCAGCGCCGGCGCGTCGTTGAGCGACCTGGCAATCACGGTAGCGCAGCTCGCTTTTCCCGCGGCGGGGGGGGCGACCACCATCTCAATGTGCTCCTTCGCCAGCCCCCCTGGAAGCTTGAAGCCGACCGCTGGATCACTCCCGATGCTGAAAAAGCGGGCGAAAGGATGAGAATGCGGCGACTCCACGATTAGTCGCTGAACGTCACGCTATATGAGGACTGGAGACTTTGACTTGGAAACTTTATCGGAAGTTGGACTTTGTGGCGCTGATTGCGAGCCTACAGGGTCAGGTAAATCGTCTGAAAACATCACAACGTGAAACACATACTCCTCCCTCACGCATCTTCTTTCATTATTGGAGCTCAATCCACCCTTCCAAGATGCAATACGCGTGGACCGCAGCTTGAGACAGTCAAAGCTTCAAGTCCGGCCAATCACCTGTTGACACCTGGCGCCAGGACGTGCACCGCCCAGCTGGCCTTCAATGCGTCTCCAGACGTTTCCTCCCGTTCCAAAGCATGCGCCAGTAGTCCCTCTCCCGAGGCTTCCCTGAACAAAACCGACTCGTCTACTGCAATTCCGAGCCGCCTCAAAACTCTCAACCCGGCAACCAGCTTCCGGTTCGACGCGGAATTCTCCAGGAGCCGCGTCTCGTCTTTCGGCGTTCCGGCTTCCTTGTCCGCTTCCGTTTCCGGTTCCGGTCTAGGAGACCCCTTGTGGTCGCTGCCCACTAGCAGCTGCACGAGGAAAGGCGACGCGGCGCCGATCGCCGACGAAAAGCCCTCAAACCTCCGCCATTGCGGTTCTGCCACGTGGACAATCCGCTTCTCCACTTCCGGCTCCGGTTCCGGTTCCGGTCCCGTCGCTGAGTCAATGGACATACTCACTGCCGCCTCCGTTTCGGTAGCTCTATCTGAAGTCTGCGCGCGTTCGCAATCCGTTCCGTTGTCCAATAAACTGATGACGTCAGTCGCCGTTCCGGCGTTCGCGGTGTTCAATATCTCCGTTCCGGACGCTGCTGAAGCATACGCTACAAGCCCTTCCGTATCGGTGACCGTATCTACACCGTTTGATTCCGTCTCAGTAGAGCTAGACGCCAACTCAAGCGGAACCGGATCCGTCATGCTGTCGCGAAAAACGACCTCCTCCGTTCCGCTTCGAGCATCTGTACACGAGACACCGGAATCCGTTCCGTCGTCCACCACCTTTGGCGGCGTCTCCGTCTCCGTCGCGGCGCTCTTCAACTTTGGGGCCTCCGTTTCCGTTCCTTCCGTTACAACGTCGGCCGGACTCGTTTCCGTGGAGGACGCAGCGGTTTCCACCCCGGGCTCCGTTTCCGTTCCTGCCGACCTTGATTCCGGTAAGAAGGCGTCGGTTCCGCTGGACACCGTTGGCGTCGGAGCCTCCGTTTCCGTTCCCTCTGTGACTGTGACTGCCCTGACTTCCGGATCCGTTTCCGTTTCCGCCGTTGCCATAATGAGCCCGTCCGTTGCAGTCCCTTCTGTTGCCGTTTCCGGCCAAGCAACAGGCTCTGTCTCGGTACTTTCCGTTGCGGTCGCCGGAACGGGTTCCGTTTCCGTCCCTTCCGTTGCCATCGTCGGTACGGGGTCCGTCTCCGTGGCACTGGTGACACTGAAACTCTCCTCGCTCGCTTCGGACGAGCGCCGCGTCCTGATCCGCAGTTCCGGCCGCTTTCCGTTCCCGTTCCGCTGCTCCAGCAGGTCCTTGAGCCCCTTCGGAGAGGCACGGGGGCTCCCCCTAGGGCTGATTCGTCCCGCCAACGACCCAACCACCCCCCCAACGAGAATGCGCGCCGCGTCCGCCCAAGTGTGCGAGCGCGCGCGTTCGATCGGACGGCTGTGATTGGCAGAGATGGTGTCCCACGTGTCATCGAGGACTCGGGACGAGAAGCCTTCCACCGGAGTCAACATGCTCGAGGTCGGGGAGTCGGGGTGGGAGTCGGGGTTCCCGTTCCGGTCACCGAGTCCGCTGCCGAGGAGCCGCGACGCGACGGAGTGCGCCTTGAAGAACGAATTCTCTGTTAGCGGGTCCAAGCGAGCCGTTGCCAGCGTTTCTTTCCCGATCGGCGCTTCGCCGCCCAGTATTTCTGTCGCGCTCTCTAGTTGCGCGACCGGGGATTGCGGCCCGGGCACAACGAGTGCAGCCGGAACGCTTGCCATGCTCTGAACAACCGCCCGAAGTGACTCAATCTCCGTTCGCAGGGACTGGATCAGCTTTTCGCGGGGGTCTTCGTTGAGGACCGGTTTGTTTTTGATGCGCTTGGCCCGGTTTGCGTACCGAAGCGTCGAGAGCGTCTCTTTCACGTCCTTTTCCGCGGGGCTGATGCTTGCGACCATCACCGTCTTGCTGTTACCGCCCAGGCTCTCCTTGAGAAGCCACGTGAGGGACGAGTTGCGGTACGGCACGAAGTCGCTGCCACGTGCCAGCTCCGTGATGACCTGGACACGTGGACGGGTTAAGCTAAATTTCTGAGTCCACTTGATGCCAAGGTTTGAGCGGTGCTTCGTCATTGCTTACTACGAAACGAAAATTTCTTGTTACTTTCGAAGAGAAATTTTATGTACCGCCACAGCCGTCAAAAAGCCTGTCTGTCGAAATGATGAGCAAAGACTGAAGTCAAAAGGAGGAAGAACAGAAGAAAGAGCGACCACTCGCAAGCTCGAAATGCACACAATTAAGCCAGCTGGAAATACTTTTTGCCTGAAATTACGGACGAAGTTAATTGGCGTCAATCCTTCCGTGGCGAATCCCTCGAGCCTTTTGTAAAAGGGGTGAAAGAGAAGCGCAACGAACGACCTCCGCTTCCAGAGGCGCACAGCCATCACCGATTAAAGTAATTGAAGCACACACTCCTTCACAGCCAACTTTACAAGCACCAAGCATAGTCACCTGGAATGCTAATGACAGAAACTTGGGCAGAAAAGTATATTGACGGGCTTGCCACTCACGTCATTCAAGAGCGACAGCGACTTGTTGATGAATCCCGACTCCTTGAGCCGCGCCCCGGTTGCATTCGTCCGGTTCTGCCGCTCGCTCCCTGCGAGATCCACCAGGTTGATCCTGCTAACCCGGCGGAAGGGTACCCCGGTCTCGGGGGACGCCTTGGTCTGCACGGGAGGTTTGCTTAGGTTAACGTCTAACCCGACTCTGAGAGAGCGGTATGTATATTTGCAGCTTGCGTGTCTGTGGTAAGAGTTGCTGGGGTCCACTCTGTTGATTCAACGAATCCTAGTTCCGTGAGAGCATAATTGAAGCTTCGGTGAGGATTTTTTTTCTGCTGATCTCAATTTGGACAAGATTCGTGACTGATCTTGCGAAGTTCCAATAGCACTAGATCGATGCACACTACTGTGAGCTTATTCAAAGGCTGGACTTGTCCTTCGAGCAACGTGATGAAAGATGGACGTGAGACTCTGACATTGCGAGAGATCCCGGCGGAACGTCCGAAAAGAATGGTTGGGTGATGGCCGAGCTCCTCAAGTGAACCGCTATATCGGAGGTGTAAGACCGAGCAGACGAGACTGTCAGGACTGCTATTTTTATAAATATAAATACATGCGCCCATGATTTTCCATGGACACGAAAATGGTCGACTATATGACGACTGGACGTGGATGAGTCTTAGCTATACTCCTCTTCCATCGCGATAGGGGAAAAATCAGCCCCAAAAGCCCCCCCCTCTCACCTGCGTAACGGTCAATGTGAACACCGTATGACTCCGGCTGGACAGCTTATTCATGTCCGTCGCAGCAATCGTCCGATTTCGGGACCCCTCCTCCAGCAGCGCCGCCATTTCCGCCCAGCTCGACACGTGGCGCTCCGTCAGCCCCTCCACGTACGGCCCCTTGTCCGGGTGCTCCCGGATCTTGAGCGTGGCCCGCGCCCCCTGGTTAACCGCCTTGGTTTGACTAACCCCGCCCCGGACCGCCCGCTCGGGGGCCTCCACCGACCCCTCGGACTCCGCCACGGACGCCACGTCACTGCCCACGTCATCCTCCGCGTCGCCGTCCTCCCCCTGGCTCTTCCCGAACCGCGTCGCGGGGGGTTTGGCCGCGCCCGCTTTGCGCGCGCGTTTTACGAACCTCTGCGCCGCGAGTTTCGCCTGGACCATGACGCGGAGAGAGGGTGCCCGGGGCCGGGAACCGGGGGCCCCGCTCTGCTCGGAATCGCTGGTCGGTTCGCTGGCGTCACGGTCGGTGTCGGAGTCGTCGCGCTCTGAGTCGCCGTCTTGGAAGTAGGACGCGGGGGCCTTGGTGCGCGCGAGCAGATCGCGCACTTGCTCGCGGTAGATCTCGAGGTACGTGACCTGCGGCCAATGGATGACGGGCAAACGTTTCAGACTCTGAGCATCTTTTACGCTCCAAAATGGTTTCTCGAAAGGGTTCTTGTGCAAACGAAGCTTTGCCGACCGGCATCAAGAGACGTCGCCGTACCAACAATCTTTCTTCCGATGCAGAAGGACGAAGCCGTTCAGACAGGATAATAATCCAGTAGGGTAAACTTGAAAAGGCAGATTCGAAGTGCCGAACACAGCAATCAACTTGGTGACCCTAACAGTATTTCGGCATGTTCTGCGCTTAGCTCGAGACAACACGGCCAAGGCCCATTCTAGCTTCGGACGGGCCGATCAGAACTGAGAAGAGCGTCGATGTTGAAAGCACGGGCGCAATAGGACGCGATCCCAGACCCAACTGAACCTCCATCTCAAAACTGGTCGCCCCTAAGCACCTGCATTTCTATTTCTCCCTGAGCGACCGTTCGCGAAGCAGTGTGGAAAATCGGAATCGACCCCGGAAAACGGAGGGAAAATCGATCCTAAAGAGCAGCGCACCTCTACCGAGACGTCTGTGCCCGCGTCCCGCTTCTCCTTTAGCCGCTGCAGAAGCGCGGCCGCCAGCCGGGGGGTGATACCGGCCCCCTCCTCCGTTGAATCGCCCATCATGGAGAAACTCTTGCCCGCGCCGGTCTGGCCGTATGCGAACATCTGCGGATGAAGGGGAGCGCTTATCTGCCTGGTCGCTCCACTTACGCTATCCGATTGGTCGATCTTGAGAGCTGAGAAAATTGGTAGAACTATTTCAAGCAAGCAAAGAGGTGGTTCAAGCCCGGTCTGGCCGTGTACGAACATCTGTGGATGACAGGCATCGCTTATACATGGCCGCTTCGGCTATGATATGGGGTTGGTCGAGGCTTGGAAGGAGGGAAGAGTTGAAGCAAAGCTTAAAATATAGGTAGGGCCAAGCTCGGTCTGCCCCTTATACGCGAGCGGTTGTATATTACGGAGTATGTATCTGACCGCTTCGCTTAACGTTCCCGATCGGTCCTGAGAGCTGGAAGGACTCTAACAGATTGGCAAGCCACTCAACGGGACTCGCAGGTAAGCAGATGTGGAAAGGTGCAAACGCGCATCGCCGTACCAATCGCCCGGCTCGAGAAGAAGGGGTTCAGCTTCCTAGTGTGTCGAGAGGCATGTGCTCTCCTTCGTCCGTAACGAGAAACCTCTGACTCACTAAAGGATCCGAGCAATTCTCTTATGCTTTATCTGGCACGAAAGCACTCACAATTTTCGTACTAGCAAGGTGAGGACACCCTGGAACGTGAGCTACACCGCAAAGACCCCAAGAGGAAGATTCGTCTTACGCTCAACGGAGGCCTTTTCAGCTCACCGTAACGTTGTATCCCTCTAGCGCACTGTTCAGCGACTGGTGCCCGAGCGCCTGAAACAGGGCCTCCTGCAGCTCGGCCTTCGCCCGGGGGATCCCCCCGTCCCCTAGCTCGCTGTCGTTCTGCACTAGGTCGAATGTAAACTCCTGGGCCCCGAGGGGAGGAATCGACTCCGTCGGCCGGCGCGCGCGCGCGCTCGCGCCCGACTGGTCGGTGGCGCGGTGCGCGCGCGGGGGCTCCTCGTAGAGCGTGATTTTGGGGCCCTGGATGACGACGGCCTGGCGGCTTTGGCACGCGCGCTCGCGCTCGGTGAGGGGGCGCACGCGCACGGCGACCACGACCTGCGGGATGATGTGGAGAGGTCGCCGTTAGAACCAGTCTGCTGACTTCGAGGACAAGAGTAAGCACAGGTTTCTCTTATTCGAATCAAGAGTCGTATCTGGTGCGATGCCATATTGTCATTAATCTGCCAGGAAGTGAAGAAATTATAAGATGTATGTTTTGCGGGCTTTGAGATGAATCTAAGAACCTTAGCCCAGACAAACCTGTGGCTGGAGAACCGCGGTTCGGAAGAGCCCCTTTGCCGGGGTGCCGTATGCCCCCATGTCTCGATCCTGATGAACCGTTTGCAAGGAGCAGCCGGTTGCATTGAACGCCAAGTTACTAAGCAGGCCGCAAGACGTCGAGACAGTCCCTGAAAGCAAAATTCCACCTCAAAATGGTGAATCGACTCCAGACAGGATAAGGCAGCCTACCTTCTCGAGTCCTGCAGAGGTCCGGAACGAGGTCACGGGCTCCGCTATTTGCATCGAATCATTCTCGCTTGCCGCTGCGGGTTCGAGATCCGACTCTCCGTCACGCAGTTTCAGTGAAGGAAGCGCCATAAGCACTGGGGCTATGCTGGTGGGGCTCAGGCGGGAGTCCGAAGGTTGGAAATCCGTGTCGGCTTCTGTCTGAGAAATAGGCGCCGAGACCAACTCCTCCCTGCATTGGAGGAAGCGCGGGGTTAGAGCTGAAAACGAGCAGTATGAAAGCAGACCAACAAGGCGGTCAAGGCAATAAGCTTACCGATCGCTTTAGGATTTGAAGTTTAAAGTCTTGTGCGAGGGAGTGCTCGAGAGTGCGAAAGATTCTTGTGTAGTCAAAAACGGCGCGTCCTTCAACCGGGAGGCTGAACGCTCAAACGTGTTTGCTGGGTTTAGCAGAACCCGAGAAGATGATCGGTTTGGAAAACGTTCGGTAGGGAATGCATGTCGCTCAATGTTCGGACGACCTGCTTGCTTGCTGACGTTTGAAACACCAAAAGACGTGGAGATCTGAGACTGTGAACGTACCTGCTTCCTGCGTACCCGTCCGCCCCAGCATCAGCCACCCTTTCTCCTTCCAGGGGGGCATCTTTCTCCGTCGCTGGCCACCCCCCAGACCTAATCTCCTCCACCAGGGGGGTAAACGAGCTGCGCCTCGAACCGGGCTTCGAACCCCCCTCTCCCAAACTAGCTCGTCTGCTTTCCACGGTCACATTTTTGCCCGGTTGGGTGGCAACCCTGCGCTGACTCGAGAGGGGCTTCGAAGCCGCTGCCGGAGATTTGGCGGCTTTGGACCGCGGGGGTTTAGCTGCTAGCGAGCTCGAGGGGCGCCTTTGGGTGGCCAGGATAACCGGGGGGGGCGTGTCGTCGATGAGGGGAGCGAAGGCGTCAGCTTCAGGGGCGCTGCGGAGAAAGCAGAAAGCTTTGAATGTCTGTACGAGACCGAAGCGGTTTAGAGCAGGTTAGCAGGACTGTTTTGGAGGGCCATAGCCGCATCCATTCACGTCGCAGTAGCCTTGATCCGTTGAATGATGAAGTACTTGAAGGAAAGATAGTCGGTCGTAAGTGCTCCAGATAGGCAGTTTGTTGCCGACAAAAAGCTGACAAGGCAGCGCACCTAAACTTACCCTGTGACATGACAGCGACGTCTCGAAAGCTGCTGTCCGTCTAGTCAGCGGCTATCCTCAACCCGTTCCAAAACTTTACTGCTCAACGCCCCTTTGCTAGAAGAAGCTATGAGAAGCTCAAATTCCTCTGGCACTGTTGAGATTCTAGCATCAAGGCAGCCGTACCTCGTTTTCAGTGCTTTACAGATCTGAGAGTTTTCGATTTTACTCGGATGCAAAACTCTCTACGAATGGACGATCTGACAGGTCGCTTGGACTGACCTGCTCACAGCTCCAACCGGTTGGTCGAACGACGTTCGTCTTGAAGACATTCCAAGAACCCTCCCATTGCGCTCCTCAACCTCCGACTCTCGCAGTGGAAATTCGGACGTCTTCTTTCCAATTTCTGAGTTTCGCTTTACAAACTCGGACGATCTTTTCACGACCTCCGACTGCCTCTTTCCAAAGTCGGAGGTTCTTTTCCCAACATCTGGTGTCAGCTTTCCTGAGCCGAACTTTCGACTCAATTGCTGCAAAAAGCGCTTGCGAATGTTAGCGGATGTCGCCAACGCAGTCCAGCCACACTTTCTGATTGCATCTGCTGAGCATGCAAGAACAGCTCTTCGTCTAAATCTTTTGCTTCTACTGCCGACTGGACAAAATATAAGCACAGCAACTCTACGTACTAAGTGATTATCTTGAAGGCAAACAGATGAAGCTCGTTATTGTCCAATATGATTGATCTGTGACATAAAGTGCATCTTTCAACAACGTAAGTCTAGAACCAACATACTTTCCCTTGTGGACTGATATAATCTACTAGCATTGGCAACTGATCTGGCGGATCAAAACATCGCAGAGGTGAGGTTTCAAAGGTCAGTTCAGCTTTCCTTGGAATCTGCACTTGGAAGGCCGAACTTGATACAATTCAGCAATCAGGCAACATCAAGCAGAACGACGCCCTACTCTAGCCTCCATTAGTCCTGTACGTTGGCTTCTTTTATCGCTCTTGGGTTCTGTTCAGCTTGCTAATCATTCTGAACTGACAGCTTACCTTCTTGGGAGGCTCTGCTTTCCTGAAGAGTCGCGAGTTCTCTGGTATGTCAGCCATCCTTATGCACCAGAGTTGATGAAAGGCCTCCTTGCCTCTGCAGATGGCGAGTACGAGGCTAGAGGCTCGAATATTGTTGAAGGACGTTTCTCTGACAATCCAATTTGCAGCTAAGCTTCTGCAGATGAGAGATGTATGAAGCTCTTATACAGTTTTCATTCTTTGGAGGTCCGATTGTGGTGTTGGAATTTGCTTGGTTCAACGTTTGAGACCAACAGTGCAGTATGAACTATTGGATATGGTCATGCTATGCATTGGGGAGCATATGAACTCGGCAGGCTGAGCATCAGAGTGCAACACACTTCACAAGGAATGAGGTTTAGTAGCAGCGACGCCCCGCAAAGGGTAAATACAAAAAGCGCTGTAAGACTTCTCTGAGACCCGTTCCACTATCTAGTCAAAGATGATATATCAACATATATGATCCAGCACAGGATGGTTCTTGTTCTATGAAGCAGATAACCAGGGCCTTCAGATAGACCAAGCAGTAGTATTGAGCAGCCAAAGCAACGTATCTCCAGCATGCCAGAGTGCTTTCCAGGGAAAGCTGTAGACCCTCATACAGATGATACCCAGTTGGTGCTCACCTTCGATTCACTTCCTTCTGCTGCTGCTTTGCAGTCGCTCCTTCATCTCAGCCAGAGGGTTGCAGACTGCACTTTTTCATGGAAATCTCCATTCTACTTACTCGTCTACTGCAGAAAGACTTTCTCACCCTACCCAATCTGTAATGCTGCTATTGAGGCAACCCTGTACTTCCAGGTGCATCATCTCGCGGCATTTCTCCTTCAAGGGATTGGCTCTTCGTCCTCTTTCAAAGACTCTGTGGCCCCCATTCTGTGCCGTACAGAGCGTTCGACTTGCAGAAGAATCCCAAAGGACTGCTCAGTCCTCTTGATCTGCTCCCGAAAGTTCCTCCTCCAGGGGACTCAGATCAGTGCAGCATTGGACGAATTCTCTTCGTTCCTAAAACCCTTGCAATCATGGAAGAATGTGGGGTTCCCGAGGCGCCACGACCAACCCTCTGCGGCCAGTGGTAATGCATCATTCGCAAATCAAGCAGCATCCTACATATCTAAGAATGTTCTCTGACTTAAAATGACATGATTTGCCAGCCTCCCCCGACTGTGAGTGTGAAGCTGGAACCCTAATTTTCGGCTGGCCTCTGCGGCGATCGCCCAACTCGACGGTACCGTCGGTACCTATGTAGATGGTTTGTCTACGCGGTATGTACCATCTTCCTGGCCCCCGCTGGCGGCCCGCGGCGGCGGCCGGCCCGGGCCGCGTGCCGGCCAGCGAGTAGCCGCCACGAGCCTACTCAGAGCCTGCGCCAGCGCGGCAGCAGAAAATGCAGCGTGCGCACGGGCAATTAGTCCGGCCCAGTAGCTTCCCAGGGCATGAGCTCGCAGCTAGCGAGCCAGCGCGCGTACGCAGGAGTACTGCATGGCGAGTGGTTTGACCAAACCAACACCCGTTAATTTCAAACCCCTTCATAAACGCCACCCGTCCATATCACCGGGCACCACAGCTTCGCACCATTTAGCTATGATGCATGGTGAGCGTCACTCGACAACAAAGTCGCTGCAGGCGGAGACACTCCACTCAGGTCAAATGTATCCATGCCGTCATACTCATGTAAAGAAAAGAGCAGCATCGAAGCTGAACTTGCACACCTATACCGAACGACTCGCACACATTTGAAGGCCAGTACCGGGGCACTCATGCCCTCACCTTCAATGCAGATCATTTTGATCGCATCAGAGTGCACATATAGCTTCTTGCGGACTTGGCCAGAAGGTAAGCGATGCATCAATGCATGCGAATGCGATGGACACAATCTATGCGAGTACCATAGCTCCATCTTCCAAGCAGGGCCCTCGAGTGCGGATGTGACCGTTCAAAATAACGGGAGACGCTCGCAAAGTGGGCACTGAACCAACAAAACCAACCGCCTGTAACATGTGCCCTCTACCTCCAGCATCAATCTCGTTTTGACGGTCGCAGCCTCGTGACGATGATCTCTATATACCCTCAACAAAGCACCAAATTATTATACTTGACATACGGCCGAAGAAGCTTAACTTAGGGCTCTTACGGCTCTTATGTCTGCTTCTGTGTCGCGGTCGAGACGTTGACTCGACGCGTCTGATCCCCGCCTGTTCATGAGGGCTAGCGGTGGATCGTACGGTTTTCTTCCTACCATAGGAGCGAGGGTGATAGAACTGGACGTCCGCTTGTAAGACGTGGTGCCCTTATCGTTTGCCGACGTGGACGGCAGCCGCGAGAGCTTTTCCGCTCCACTTTTTTTCTTCTTTTCTTGCAGCGGACTTTCGGTCGTTCCATCTCCAGAGGACCTGAAAAAATGCCGGAAACTTGGGACCGTCAGGAAAGAGCGTACTTGCAGGCAGCATCTTTATTGACGGCTCACTTCGTCCAAGCAACAGACGGCGCGTTCGTCTAGCAATCATGCAGATCTTGGAGGATAATTAGTCGAAAGCCAAGCTGGTAAGCTCCTGAAAGTTTTACACTGAATCAAGTTGTCTGTGGGAAGATTCCTTGTTTATCACGTCGACTGGTGTCAGTTTACCCAGGTCCCGAAGCCGCCTACAATTTATTCAGTGAGAGGACAGGACGAGAAGACAATCGAAGCAACATGATAACCCTGCGACTATTCCAAGAGGCGGCTGACGCGAGCTTCTATGCAAACGCACTCTTCTGAGCGTCATTCAAGTCCCTCGGAACTGAGCGAGTGGCAGATGCCAACAAGGGCTGCAATTTCTTGGCAA